TCTGTGGTCCCTATAGCAGATCTGTGGTTCCTATAGCAGATCTGTGGGGTTTTTTCGCACTTAGTGAAACCACGAACAAAGAAGGGTTGTGTGTGTGTGTGTGCGCGCGTGTGTGTGTGTCGTCAGGGGATCTGGTCTCTTCCTGTTTTCATCTCAGGGCCGTGCTGCTCCCTCTCTCTCTTTTATTCCTCCAGGCCTACTATAATAGAATTATTATTATTTAAGTGTTGATTTATATTTTCTGTAAATAATGATCTTGTGTTTCGTAAACGGCCGATTCTGAAGACAGACGGACGATAATTTAAAGCGGGAAGCATCAGATGGTGAAACTTGAAGGAAAGTTGAGGCGGTGCAGAGAAGTGAAGAAATGATCAGGGACTGGAAACAGTGGTTCTGCTGAACGGGTTTCACGGGACAGTTGGACGTTTTGAGCAGGTGTTGCTTTAATGAAGGCAGAGGACGTTGGACAGAAAGTTTCAGACGTTTCTGACGTCAGAATAAATTTAATCTGGATTATGTCCTAATATATTTATTTGTTCATTTTGACTTTATTCTTAATTTTTTTTTTCTCTCGTGTGTGACCTCAACACTCCGTTTGTCTCGGATCGCTCCAGAAACATTCCCGCTCTGGTTCTGAGGTGCCAAACAGAACCTCCGTTTGTCCTCGGCGGGGGACACGGCGGGCTTTGTGAGCGGGGACAGGCGTCTCCCGTCACGCTCGTCTCGTCCTCTGCTGCAGGAATTATTCAGCTGCTGTGAGCCTCGTTTGACCTCATCGATGTTCTGTTGATGGTTCTGTTGGACTCGAGGTCACACCAGACACGAGCAGAGACGTACCTTTATTTTATATTTTAAAACATTCTGTTAGAAAAAAAATCAAGCCAACACGTTGGCACGGCAACTGGAGAAGCTGATTAAAGGTTGTAGAAAACGTGCAGAGTTCTGTCTTTTGTCCTCCTGCTGGGTCCAGCAGGACCGTCTGTCCTCCGTCTGTCTGTCCACGAGCTCAAAGGAATGGATCTGAAGCTACATTCAGCAGCAGCGAAGCTTAAACTCACTTTTTATCAGCCAACGACCAGAACCGGAGGTCCGGTCTGAGCTGCGGTAAACGTTCGCCGACAGGAAGCAGCAGAAATAAAATCACCTTCAGGAACGAAGCGTCGAAGTGAAACGAGCGTTCCGGCGTCCAAAGTGCAGAACTTAAAGAATGTAGGAGTTTACACCTCCGGTTCTGAACCGAGCAGCCAATCACGGGCCGGTTCTGAAATGAACAGACGGAGCTCAGAACTCCAGGAGGACCCTGAAGTGGTTCTGGATGGACGGGGGCTCGTCCTCAAAGTGCAGCTTCTTGCTGGGACAGGCCCCCAGCTCCTCCAGGGTTCTGATGAAGTGGCCGTGCTCGCGGCCCACCCAGGCCCGCATCGGGTCGCGCACCTCGTACGGGGTCACGTGGGCGTGGACCGACACCCCGCTGGCGGCGAGCTCCTTCAGCGCCTCCCAGTCCGTCACCCAGGTCTCGCTGCCGCCCGGGTGGCCCCCGTCCAGCCAGAACATGTCCGAGATCCGCTTCACGAAGGGGGACATCCGCGGGTCCGAGCGGGCCCCGGGAAGCTCGTACACCAGCTGGTTCAGAACCACGCAGCCTTTACTGAAACCCACCAGAACCAGGGAGAAGCTGGGGGGGATGCAGTCAGCGCCGCCCGGCGGAGGGAGGAGGTTCAGTTTGGCTCGCTCCGTCCCGTTACTCAGCAGGGTTCTGTGGTCAGAAACGTTCTGGGTCAGTGTCAGAACAAACATGAACAAGTCCTCACCGGTACCAGAACCTGTGAGGTTTCAACACGATGCAGAAAAAAAAAAATCTTTTATTTTCTACATTTGTTGCAAAAGAGCAAATTACTAAAAATTAAACAATGAGGACAAATTTAAGGTAAACTAGAGAAACGGCATTTCCTGCGAGGATGCAGGCGAACGCTTGTTGCTGAAGAATTTGCAGAAAAATAGCTGAAATTGGAAAATAGCTGAAATTAACAGTAAGTAAAAAATACTAAAAAGGTAGAACAAGCTTAAAGTAGCAGAAGAAAGCAGAAAGAAGCAGAGATGAGCACAAAAAAAGTGGAAATTATTTGAAGAAAAAAAAACCCCAGCCGAATAGTAGCTAAAGACGTAGAAATAAGCTTAAATTACCAGAAGGAAGTGGAGAGAGCACACTTGTGCCTAATTAGGCTGAAAAATGATGAAATTAGCATAAAAACAGTTGAATAGTAGCTAAATAAAATAAAAGAAGCCTAAATTACCAGCTAAAATGAGCATAAAACGGCTAAATAGTAGCTGAAATTGCAGAAAAAGCTGAAATGGGCATAACAAGCTGAAATTAGCAAAAATAAGTTAGAAGCACAAAAATGTTGAAGTTAGCAGAAAGATTTTGAAAGAAGCAAAAACAGCTGAAAGTAGCTGAAAAAAAATGAGAAAGGAGCTGAAAAAGGATGTAAACAGATAAAAAGATTTGAAGGAGGTAAAATGAGCTCAGTTCATTTTCTAAGGAAAAAATGGCAGAAAAGGCTAAATATTTCAAAAAGCTAAAGTTGCACCAATACCAAAAGTCATAGCACCGTTCTCCTGAACGAGCTGAATGTTTAAATACGATTTGTTGAAGTGGCACAAAAATTGTGGAACGAGAAAGATGCTGAAGAACGTCTGGAAGAGGTAAAGAACCCAGAATAATAAATACAAACAGGATCACAATAGTGTGAATTCTTCATAAACATATTGGCGAGAAACGCATTCTGACCCTCCTGTGTTCAATTAACCTGAGAAGGGTGGTCATGTGACAGGAAGTCACCATCAGTGAGGACTTCAAGATTCCTCGTTTCTCAAAGCAGCAGTCTGAGGACACCAGAAGGTCTCATCAGCAAACAAGACCTCCAAGGGGTCTTCACACAGTACTGCTGGTTCTACAGTGGACACATTTCCAGAAGCAAACCAAACATGGAGCCGAAGGAGCAGCCGAAGATTAAAGAGGAGCAGCCGAAGATTAAAGAGGAGCAGCCAAAGGTTAAAGAAGAGCAGCCAAAGGTTAAGGAGGAGCAGCCAAAGGTTAAAGAAGAGCAGCCAAAGGTTAAAGAAGAGCAGCCAAAGGTTAAAGAAGAGCAGCCAAAGGTTAAAGAAGAGCAGCCAAAGGTTAAGGAGGAGCAGCCAAAGGTTAAGGAGGAGCAGCCAAAGGTAAAAGAGGAGCAGCCAAAGGTTAAAGAGAAGCAGCCGAAGCTTAAAGAGGAACAGCCGAAGGTTAAAGAGGAGCAGCCAAAGCTTAAAGAGAAGCAGCCGAAGCTTAAAGAGAAGCAGCCGAAGGTTAAAGAGAAGCAGCCGAAGGTTAAAGAGGAACAGCCAAAGGTTAAAGAGGAACAGCCGAAGGTTAAGGAGGAGCAGCCGAAGGTTAAAGAGAAGCAGCCGAAGGTTAAAGAGAAGCAGCCGAAGGTTAAAGAGAAGCAGCTGAAGGTTAAAGAGGAGCAGCCAAAGGTTAAAGAGGAGCAGCCAAAGGTTAAAGAGAAGCAGCCGAAGGTTAAAGAAGAGCAGCCGAAGGTTAAAGAGAAGCAGCCAAAGGTTAAAGAGGCAAGTGGACCTGAACACATTAAAACCATAAACAGGGAACAGAACCAGAGGTCTGAGGGATCAAATTAACAGGAACGTGGGATTAAGTCGTCTAACCTGAGCTGCTGAAATGCTCCACACTCGGCCGAATACCCAGAATGCTCCGGGGCGCCCAACACGTTGCTCTCCACAAAGTTCTGGTAGCAGCTGAACTTATGAAGGTACATGTGGGAGGCTCGGACCACCCAGATGTGGCGGTCGGGGAACCGCCGACCCAGGATGAAGGCAACCTGCTCCAGACTCCAGGAGGTCCACTGAGCCGCCTCTGGCTGAAGAGCCATTTCCTCCTGGAAGTTCTGAACCCAGAAAAGATCAACTTTAATAAAAACAGAGTTGATGATTGAACTTTACAGACTTTATTCATAAATAAATAAAACCCAGACAGACAGCTGAACAACTGGTTCTGTTCGAGGCCAGAACAGGTCCGGTTCTGGTCCACCAGACACCATGCCCTGTCTTCTCTGCATTTGCCTTTTTATCCTCGGAACTAAAGAAGCTGCGCCCCTTTTTTTATGAAACCGCTCCGCTCTTACAGACGGGAACTAGAACTTTCTCATAAAACGGGTCCAACTTCACAGACAGATCACCCCAAAATGCTCTGAACTTAAAATCGGCTGATTTTAGTAAAAGTTTTAGCTGTTTTTGTCCAGTCTTGGTAGAATTCATGGAGATGACCGTCAGCTACACATTGATGTGTTTACTGTTTACAGTGGACTAGCTGTGGCGGCCATCTTGACTTGAGTCCACTCCAACAGTTGTAGACATACTTTCACCCCCCCACACACCCCTGCTGCTGCCCTAGAGTCAAAATGGCCCCAGAGGCTTCAGTATTATTGTTAAGGCTTCATGGGTCATTTTGACCCAAGGGCAACAGGAGGGTAAAACCTCGACGCAATGCTTCAGCACTCGGTATGTTATAGGTTAGTCTCAGCTACTACCACACCGAACTTTAGCGCCATGTCTAAAATTAACAAAAAAATATACGTAGCCATGTATGTGTTGTCTGTGGTTGACTAGTTGTGGCAGCCATCTTGAATCAGTTGTACCGGTTCTACCAACGATTACTTTTTAAGTGTTTTCTTTAAAGGCATCAACGGGTCGATGAGATATTTTGCTAACAGACAGACAAATGCATCACCTAGACTACAGGATTGTTTTTCAAATACTCAAATATTATACCAACATACATTAAACTTGTTCAGCTGGTCTGAACAAGAGAATGAGAACTCATTTTTAATTAAAGTGATTTAATTTGATTTGTTGGTCTTCTGTTCAGTTAAAGCTCAAACAAACTAATTAAATCGTCTCTGGCTTCCATCCTCCAAACTGTTCACCAGCAGGTGCAGGAAGGTTCAAATCTTTTAATTTGGTTGGATTACATGATTTCAAAACAAAAGACTGGAGAATAACGCTGAATGATGGATGTGGGAAAATTGAAAACAAAAATGTTCCTCCTGGGCCTCCATACGAATATGAAAACCAGTTGTGACTGCGAGAAACCGTGACCTCATTTCAACCCGGTCTCACCTGGATGTCTCCGTGGAAAAACACCACGTGCTTGTTGTTGTCGTCCTCGTCTGGCCGCTGCAGAAGCAGCAGGTCGTTGGCTCGGTTCGGGGCGCAGCCCGGGACTCCGAGCAGCTTCTGCAGCCTTCGGCGGCCGGGGCTCCCCGCTGCTGATCCCCACAGCCCCCGGAGCTCACAGGAGGGCGTCGCCGCCACGGAGCTCATCGCTTTGGCCACAGTTACCAAGGTGAAGCCGACCGCCCGGATAACTAACATAAAGTCCAGAGGAAAGAAGTTTTGTTCCTCCTCTCCGCGCTACATGCTGCTGCAGCTAACCTGATGCTAACGGACCGAACAGACTCGACCGTGGCTGATTACCGAAGAATATCGATCACCACGCGCCTCTCCCGATCATTATTTTTATCACATTGTGACTAGTTGTGAATAAACACGCATCATCGTTCCACATACGTTTTTTACAATCACGTCTGTTTGTTGGTTTACGGCCACCGAGAGGCGCTGTATGGTTTCAAACAGGCACTTCCGTATTTTTCCGGAAGCAAAGACAAACATGCACAGACGGTAGCAAGATGAGACCCATCCACGTACTTCCGCTTTGGCTTCGCTGGTCATTACACACAGCTGTATAGTCGAAAACAAAAAATCCTGAAAAATATTCGTAGATGTTTAGCTAATTGTTTGTTTTTCACTCTTTTATTTTTAGTTTAATCGGATTGAATTTGACTGGGTTATATATATATTTTTTTCATTTACCCATTATTTATACAGGTAGTCTCATTGAGCCATGAGAACTCATTTTCAAGAGAGACCTGTTTGGGGAGCAGATGGTGGTTAAGGGCCTTGTATATGGGCCCACGGTGGGGTGAATGAGGGTGGGGGCAGGTGTGGGTGCTTCACCTACCCCATCTACTTTTTTTTTTTTTTTTTATGTTGTCGGTACTGGGGCTTGAACCGGCAATCTTCCGATCACAGGCCCACCTTCTCTAACCTCTGCTGAAGTAAAAGTTTAATTATAGCCACTAGGGAGCATAAGCCAGTGTATCTCTGGTTCTGGTCCCAAGCCCGGGTAAATGGTGAGGGTTGTGTCAGGAAGGGCATCCAACATAAAACATTTTTGCCAAAACTAATATGCAAATTTATCTAAGCGACACCATAACGGATCAGTCGAGGCCCAGGTTAATGACTGCCACGGGCGCTATTGACAAACAGGGTGCCGACATAAATTGTGCTACTGTTATTCAAAGACCACGAGGAGGGAAACGTGTCAAGAGACCGAGGGAGAAGAGGAAAGACAAGAATGACTGACAGTGGCAACTCTAAATGTGGGGACAATGTCAGGCAAAGGTAGAGAGCTGGCTGGCATGATGCAGAGAAGGAAGGTAGATGTTTTACGTGTCCAAGAGACCAAGTGGAAGGGTATGGTGGTAGAGTACTGTATTCCCTGGGAGGAGAGTAGTGGTGGATTTTGCGAAGAGAATGGAAACGGCTGTAGTCAACACTTGTTTCCAAAAGAGAGATGAACATAGACCTTTAGAGTGGAGGCAGGAGTACGCAGGTAAATTCAGAAGTACATTCTGTGTAGAAGAGGAAACCTGAGGGAGATTGGGGACTGTAAGGTTGTGGCAGGGGAGAGCATGGCCAGACAGCATTGGATGGTTGTGTTTTGAATGACTGTTGTTGTGAAGAAAAAAAGAGTAAAATCAGAGAAGAACAAATGGTGGAAGCTGAAGAAGAAAGAATGTTGTGAGGAGTTCAGAGAGGAGCTGTTAAAGGCTCTGGGTGGTAAGAAAAAGCTTCCAAACAACTGGGCTACTACAGGTAGGAAGGAACTTGGTGTGTCATCTGGACAGAGAAGATATCACATAATTCTTAAATAATCTTTGGGTTTACCAGAGAAGATCCAGTTGTTTTATTAAACCATTCACAAATTGACTGACTTCAGCTCAGAGCCTCCAGCAGGGGGCAGTGCTGAGTTGTTGTTTTTTTTTTTTTTTTTTTTTTTTTTAGATGCAAGGTACATTTTAAAGTGGACTCTTGTTCTGAACTGGAAGCTTCAGCTGATCAGAGTTTATGTTCATGGATGAAGTTTCTCTGGACCTCTGAACTGTTCTGGGTCAACGCACGGCTGCACGTGCTTCTGACCTGTGTTTGGTCGTCCTGTCTCAGATAAAAGTGTTTCATTTCCTCCAGGCTGAACTTTGAACCAGTAACTGTAGATTGGCTTGCTTACAGATAAATTTGGGAGCAAAACACTCAGATTGATAATTTTTGCGCTGGTCTGGATGGGTTTGGAGTCGTTCAGGAAACTTTGTTTTTTTTTAATCTCCTGAAAGGTAAGCAATACATTGTAAAAAGTTATAAATTTAAGTTGAAAGCAGAAATTAAATTAGCCTGGTCAGTTTTAATTAATATAATCTGTTCATCATGATTATATATTTGACTCAGAAACAGCCCGTGTTTACTGCAGTACCTCAGAGAGCCACTAGATGTCACACTTCCTGTAAACTGGACCTTTAAATCCGCAGCGAAGGAAGCCGGTCGAAACTTTATTCAACAAATTATCGTTTAAAAGTTCGTCAACAAAAGTGCATGTTATTTTGTCTAATCTACATGTTTTCCAGATTAGAAGAGCGTGTTTTTGTTCTTGCAGAAACATGAGCTCTGGCACTTTGGGCCGACGCCTGGTGGCGTGTCTTCTCAACGTGTCTGAGGCTCGCAGGAGAGACGTGGTGGAGCGCGTCGCCCGAGCGGCTCTGTGCAACGTCGAAGGTCGGTTTCGTTCACCTTTGCTCTGAATTATCACACTGAGCTTTATGACCAAAATAAACCACAGAAATGATTCAGATTTTACCAGCAGATGACAAAAACTGCATTAATATCCTGAGGATGGCAACAGACGTATGAATAAATGTATCCTGCACGATTGTAGGCGTGCATCTAATGATAACTGAGGGTTTCATTAAAATCTGTCCAGTAGATCATGACATTTTGCTAACAGACAGACACAGGCACAATTGCATGATCACCCGTGATGATAACTTCAAATATTTGTAAATGTTGTGTGATCATTGTTCAGGGGTGAAACGGGAGGACACCACAGTTCTGAACATCTTCAGTGATCACGACTACAACCGCTCCGTCATCACCATCGTGGCCTCCATTGACTCCATCAGTAAGTAGTGACTCATCTGACTCCTTCCTCTCTGGCAAATATGGACTCAGAGCTCCTCTTTAACCTCTTAAAACATTATAAACTCTTTAATTTGTCCTCTGAAAAAAAAACCTGCTGTCTTTACTGTAAACTCTCCATACATTTTCTATAAGCATCCTTTAAGCCTTTAGGGAGTGTAAAACATCTCGAACGCTCCCTAAAGGCTACGTGTAAACATCTTGTAAAAACTTGTAAACTTATTGAAAACTTCAATGTAAGTATTTTGTAAACATCTTTTAAACTCCATTGTCTACAAATTCGTGTGGAGGTGTTGAAGCTCGACAGTGCTCGGACTGAATGTGGAGCTGTGACAGGGAGTTGGAGCAGCTGTTTTCAGGACTGTGATCTTCCTGGCAGCACTCATGAATGGTGGAATAATCTGGAGAAGCTGTGAGCTCGACTTTTGGAGTAAAGGATCAATTCGGCTGTTTTGGAGTTTCCATCAGAGAATATGTACCAGCAAGACTTTAAAGGCAGAAACAACAATTCACGAGTTCTGCCTGACCCAAACTGTGGCCTTGACGCCGGACTTATCTCAACTCCTCCTGGAATGTTTGGAAAACAACAAAGATGCTTTGACTGTTTCCTCACCACTCCCTCCCCTAAGGCCGTGGACATGTGACAGAACCTCAACTGAGCTGAAGATGAACGTCACCTCTTATCTGGACAATGGCTGAGGGGGGGCTCTGGACTATGCTACGACTTTCCCTTAAAAATTCAATGTTTTCATCGCCTATATGTAAATGTATAACGTCTATTTATGTTGCTTTGCTGTGGTAGGTTTTTTTGATGCCTCAAATTGTGCCCTGTCTAGGACACGGTGTGAGAGATCTTTTTTTTTTTATTCCGTCTCTCCTCATGTTTTATTTCCTTTTCTCATCTAAGCAAAATATTATTCTGAATAAGAATAAGAAGGCCGCGCTAATTATTTATAGCCGCAGCTTCGTGCACTCCGCCCATCTTCGGACGACTGTACGTACATATTCGTGTTGTATCTCGGTGCAATGCCCATAAAGTTTATTCTGATTCTGAAACCAGAGCACCCAGAGAAAACCCATTCATGCATGGAGACAACATGCAAACTCCACCCAGAAAGGTTCCAGGCCGGGATTTGAACCAGGACGACCTGCTCGCTGAGAGGCAGCAGCTCTACCAACTGTGCCACTGTACTGCCCATTCACTGTAAACATCTTGTAAAAAATCTTGCAAACGTCTTGTGAGCTGCTTGTAAACTCCCTATAAACATCCTGGAAACATCTAGTAAAGTCCCTATAAATGTATTGTAAAGTTTCTGTGAGCTTCTTGTAAACATACTGTATATTGTAAAAAACAACAACTTGTAAACTTATTGTACGCATCTTGTAAACACCCTATAAATGTCCTTTTAAACTCTCTGTAAACATCCAGTAAGGAGCCTGTGAACTTCTTGTAAACGTCTTGTGAGCTTCTTTTAAACTCCCAGTAAACATCTAGTAAAGAGCTTGTAAACACCTTGTAAACTTACAGTGAGCTTCTTGTAAACCATCCATCCATCCATCCATTTTCTTCCGCTTATCCGGGGTCGGGTCGCGGGGGTAGCAGCCTAAGTAGGGAGGCCCAGACTTCCCTCTCCCCAGCCACTTGGGCCAGCTCTTCCGGGGGAATCCCGAGGCGTTCCCAGGCCAGCCGAGAAACATAGTCCCTCCAGCGTGTCCTGGGTCTTCCTCTGGGCCTCCTTCCGGTGGGACGTGTCCGGAACACCTCACCAGGGAGGCGTCCAGAAGGCATCCTAAACAGATGCCCAAGCCACCTCAACTGGCTCCTCTCGACGTGGAGAAGCAGCGGCTCTACTCCGAGTCCCTCCCGGATGATCGAGCTTCTCACCCTGTCTCTAAGGGAGAGCCCAGACACCCTGCGGAGAAAACTCATTTCGGCCGCTTGTATCCGAGATCTCATTCTTTCGGTCACAACCCAAAGCTCGTGACCCCAATGATGAGATACACAAATGGACCTAGTGTTCCCTTGCCCGGACGTGGGTCACCGGGGCCCCACTCTGGAGCCAGGCCTGGAGGTGGGGCACGTGGGCGAGCGCCTGGTGGCCGGGCTTTTACCCATGGAGCTCGGCCGGGCACAGCCCGAAGAGGAGACGTGGGTCCCCCTTCCCATGGGCTCACCACCTGTGGGAGGGACCAAAGGGGTCGGGTGCAATGTGGGATGGGTGGTGGCCGAGGGCGGGGACCCTGGCGGTCTGATCCTCGGCTACAGAAGCTAGCTTCTTGTAAACACTTTGTAAAAAAAAAAAACGTAAACTTCTTGAAAGCATCTTGTAAACTTCTTATAAATGTCTTGTAACTTCCCTGTAAACATCTTGTAAAGCAACTGTAAACGTCTTGTAAACTTCCTGTAAGTATCTTGTGAACATTTTGTAAACTCACTGTAAACATCTTGTAAAAAATATTAACTTCCTGTGAGCTTCTTGTAAACACTTTGTAAAGAAAAAACTTGTAAACTTCTTGAAAGCATCTTGTAAACTTCCTATAAATGTCTTGTAAACTCCCTGTAAACATCTAGTAAAGCAACTGTAAACGTCTTGTAAACTTCCTGTAAGTATCTTGTGAACATTTTGTAAACTCACTGTAAACATCTTATAAAAAATATTAACTTCCCGTGAGCTTCTTGTAAAAATCATCTGAACGGCTTGTAAATCTGTAAAATCTTTTATTTAGGTTCCTGCGTCATTAGTATAAAGGTGTTCTGTGTCATGTGTTCTAGGGGAGGCGGTTCTTTCTGCGTGCCAGAAGGCGTGCACGCTCATCGACATGAGTTCACACATGGGGGTCCACCCTTGTTTGGGCGCCGTTGACCTCATACCTATTTATCCCCTGGGGGAGGACATGGGAGTGGAGAAGTGCGCTCAGGAGGCTCGGGGTGAGAAGTTTAGTGTCCTGTAAGCTCGAGGGGGCAGGCGCTGAGGAGTTGTGACATTAATGGGATTTACTATAAAGCTGGTACTATTTTTTGTACTTTGTTTACTTTGGGAGGTTTTGCTGAATCTTTGTCCTATTTATCCATTCGTGTATGTTCCATAAAATAAAAATCTGACAAATGCTAAACAAGATGAAGAAAACAAACAGAAACTTCTGTAAATTATACAGGGACTTGAAGACAAATCTTCTTGTTCTGATCTGGTGTTGAAACAGGCGATCAAACTGTTTTAATAAATAAAATGTAATATTTCATGCGTTTCAGTGTGAATGTACTTCCTTTTAGAACCGAATGAGGTCCAAATGACTTGTTTTTATTGAACCGAGAGAGCATTGCAGCATTCTGTTCGACTTGAAGTGGAATAAAGCTGTAATTTAGATATTAAAACGTTTAAGGATGGCAAACTACCAAAATAGTCCTGTATTTACAGTTTGAAGCTGGTGCTGTGACGTGTTGATTAGTCTGACACGTTAACAGCTGACTAAACGACTACGTGTCCTGCTGATAATGAGCGTGCACTGAAGTGTGAACCTTTATGGAAACCATCTTGGTGTGATAACAGGATTATAATTAAAATCGGGCCTGTGATGATCATTTTTCCTGCTTCTCTGATTGTTGTTCCCTCTGATGGGTCTTGTAACGTATTTGTGCTCTTCTGTTTGCCTCAGCTGTAGCTCAGGAGCTCACAGAAAGGGTCCAGGGTACAAGCGCCTTTCTGTTCGGCTGGGCTGACTCCCCCTTACAGCGGGGGCTGGCGCACAGGAGGAAGGAGTTGGACTGGTTCAAGAAGAGCTCGGACTTACAGGCCATAAGGCCCGATGTTGGGCCACAACCACAGAGACGGTACGGCCTGACAGGTGAGCTGTGAGGACGTGTAAAAACTTGAACAGCTGATGGTGACCGAGTCTTGAAGGAAAGTTAGTTTGGTGCTCCGGTAGCTCAAAGATCAGACTTTGGATGGTGTGACGGCAGAACCTGCAGCCACACAGTTAATAAAGTTTGAGCCAGTTCCTGTGGGGATTCTGCTGGAGTTTTCCTGCCACTCACTGTAAGCAGCCCCAGCAGCATCAGATCAGTCTAGCTGGGCTGTGCCATGTTGTATGTTAGCAGAGGGAGAAGTTGGATAATGTAATCTGATTTTTACATTTTTGTCTAGATAGGACTACTTGTTGTAAATGTATTTCTTTTTTTAGGTTGCTGTTTAAACCTCTTTGATCAGTTTGTTTTGTTGGTGACACTACTGGTAGTTTAATTTATTTAATTTGCTTCCTGTCCTTGTGCATCGGAATGGTCTGACCAGCCACTTTATAAGTTCCCCTCTTGCTTCAATCAGGGGGGTCTGTTGGTGTTTTAGTTCTCTATGTTGGTACTTTAGTTAAATTTTGTTCTGCTGACCTCCTTTTTTGAGCCCAGAACTGCAGTATTTTGATTTTTTTTGTTTGTTTGGTAAATACATTTGAACCTATTTTTGGCCAATCTCCTGTGCCTCTTTTGCTGGTATATGCAGACTCCAACATATGGTGTCAGAAGTGGGATTTTTTATTTTTTTAGCCAGCAAAGAGCACAGTTTTGTTTTGTTTTTCCTTCTACTGCCACAAGTTAACAAAATATGCAACATGGAGGACGGAGTAGGAGAGGCAACGGTGTAGTGCCACAGGAACCAGAAACAATATATCAGATCAGTGAGGATGTTTGAAGCATAAATAATTAAAAACACAGCATTCCTTGAAGGATTGTATGTCACCCACTGCCTTTCATGCTACAGTTTCAGACCCAGTTTACATGAAAACGATCTCCTTGATACAGATTCTTTGATGCCAATTGTAAAAACGTTAAAAACGACACATTGGCCCATATCTAAAAAAAAATAGACGTTCTTCAGTCTGAGGTGCTGTATTCAACTAAATACAGCACCTCAGACTTAAGAAGTCTTTCGGATGAAAGACGAAACATTTCTTCAATTTTTTTGTTTTGTTTTGTTTTTTTGAATGTTCAGAGGACCAGATTTAACTTTTTTAGATTTTTCTACCTGGATTATTGAGCATGCATCAGGATAAATTGGCCCATACTGAGGCGAGACTCAAATCAAAAACTACCAAGGTAGACCTAGTAACCATAGGGGTTGAAGCAAGTTGTGGTGAGACTGGACAAACGAAGAACAGTTTATCTGGACTAAAACCTGGTCCTAATTGGGAGAACTTTTGGCTCTGGGGTCAGGTTACAGTTAAGATATGAAGGGTTAGGCATGTACTGGTTTTGGTTAATGGGTGGCTCAGCGGTGACGTTGGTAGAGCCGTCGCCTCACAGTGAGAAGGCTGCAGAATCGCATACTGATCCTTAGATGTAGAGTTTACATGTTCTCCCCGGGTTTTCTCGAGTACTCTGGTTTCCTCGCTCAGACAAAAAACATGTATATTCGATTCGGTAACTAAAATGTCTCTAGATGAGACGGTGATTGATCGTTTGTCTCAATTGTCTTTGCCCCTGTGATGAACTATTGACCTGTCCAGTGTCCCCTCCTCTCACATAGTGACTGTTGGAGACAAAGACAAAATGTACTGATTACAATGGTTATGTTAGAGGAAGGGTTTGGCTATAGAAATGTTAGCAAAATATTTCTTAAACCACTGGACATATTTTGAAGAAATGCTCTGAAAGTAAACATTCCATCTACAACCTTTGTCGTCAACATCGTACAAGATGGCTGCCACAGCTGAGTTTAGAAACAAACAAAAGAAATGGCTGAAAGTCAGTAAGTTTTGCAGATACTGAGCTCAAATTTTGTGTGGTAGTAGCTGAGAGTCATCCTCAGCATGAACTTTGAGCTCCAACAGATCACATAGTTTAAGTTTCAGGTTCTGATGAAAGACAGCGAGCGATATGAATTCCTTCCAGTGTTGTTAAACCTTTTATTTGATGATGATAATCCCTTGTTAAGTAAGCTCAGAAAAGGAGTGGCGGCGGCCATGTTGGATGTTTTAACCCTCAGGAGGCGTGAAGTTGTACAGTGATGTTGTTGAGGAGTCTAAATGTTTGCATTCTTCTGATTTTGAAGACATAAAAACCTTCAAATTCATTAATCTGTCTGTCTTTGTTGCCTACTGTTGTCATCATTAAAAAACAGGTCTCTTGTAAACGAGTTCCCGAGGCTCAATGAGACTAACCTGTATAAATAAAGGTTGAATGAATGAATACGCCGGAGGAGACGCTCAAAGTGTTTCAGTTTTACTAACTCACTGTATTTTCTGTTTGACTTCAGGCGTCGGGGCCAGTCCATACGTCATGAACTGTAATGTCACTATCGACACCCATGACATGGCCATCGGCCGCAGCGTTGCCGCAGCCATCAGGGAGTCCACGCCCGGGGGCCTCCCTGGAGTCCAGGCGCTGGCGTTGCCCCACGAGGGCGCTGTGGAAATTGCCTGTAATGTGGAGAGCACGGAGGGCCCCCCGCTCGGTCACCTGACAAATGACCCCTGGCCGTGTTTCAGCATCGACGGGACGCCATACTGCCACGCCCCGGCCGCCCTCATCACAACCAGGGTAGCTGAGCTGGCAGGAGGACAGGGGGTGGGCGTGAAGGGCACCGCCCTGGTGGGGTTTACCCCCCACGAGTGCAAGGACTTGGCAGAGTTTGCGTTGTCTCAAGGGATCGGCGAGTTCTGGAAGGAGCAGCGGAGGATTCGGATGTAAACAACCTGGTGACGATCTCACCATGAGAACGCCGAGTCAGCATCCAGTTTTTAGTTTCCTCCGAACACTACTTGGTCTGTACTTCAGCAAACTTTCAGCTGTTTCAGCCAATCAAACGTTCAGCTTGTTCAGGACATTGCATCTCACACTTTTGGTCTTTGTAACTTTCATACTTTTTGATTTATGAAATAATTTGTGAAATGCTTCAAGTGTGTAATCTACTTCAGCATACTTGCCACACTTTTGGCTACTGTTAAACTTTTTTTTAGCTTTTAGCTTCTCTGCTTTGCTGATTTCAGCTTTTAGCTACCGTTTGATAATTTTAGACTTTGCTATTGTTTTACAAGTTTCATCTTCTTGGTACAGTTTATGTAACTGCACTTTTTATCTTTTGTTTCACCGATTTTAGCTTTTAGTTCCTATTCTGTTAATTTACGTTTTTAGCTAATGTTTTGCTACTGATTTGGCTGTTTTCGCTTTTAGCCATTGTATTGGCAGTTTTAGCTTCCAGCTACTGTTAGATAATTTTAGCTTTACTCTTTTTGCTTGTTAAACCTTTTGTTTTTCTCATTTCAGCTTGTAGCTATCGTTTACTTAATTTTGGCTTTAAGCGTCTGTGTAACTGATTTTAGCTTTCATTTAGCTACTTTTGGCTTTCCTGCTACAGTATACATTTAAATTTTTAGCTTTGGTTAAGCTAAAAGAAGCTTTTTGCTTTTGTTTAGCCAACTTTAGCCTTTGTTTTGCAAGTTTCAGCTTTGGGTTGATGTTTGGCTATTTGTAGCTTTTATTTAGCGATGTTATCTTTTGCTCTGCTCGTTTTAATTTGAATAACTCAGTTTAAGTTCAAATCTTTAACATATTTTGGTAAAGTCATTCATCATTTAGCCTTTGTTTAGCTAAATGTAGCTTTTAGCCTTTGTTAGCTAATGTCTTTGAGTTGTCAGTCATTTAAGCTTCAACAGATCTAAGCACATTGTTCAGCTTTCAGCGCTTCACGAGTTTTCTTGTTTTTAAAAATAAAGATATTTTCCTGATAAATAAAAATCTCCTGACCGATGAGCCTGAATGCTTTTACGTAAAGTCAGGACCTCCAGAACAGCCGATTCTTTCTAATGTTTACTTACAGTAAAATAAAACCCGTCTCTTTAAGCTGTTGTTTCTTCTTTAACAGCTAAAACATTTACTTCAGTCCATCTCCCCTTCGACTGGACTTTGGTGCTTCGTACGTCAGAGTTTGTCCCATTTCCTGTTTTGGACTAAAGAGGATCCTTGTGTTTACACAGCGAGGTTCTGCTGATGAAACTTTTCCCATCAGGGTCCACCATCAGCCTCTCTGTGGACTGATTTGACTCCACAACCTTTGGTCTACAGAGGAGTTCCTGGTCCACTCAGTGATTGAAGGAGCCCGAACCATCAGCCCTCCACCCCTGTGCTGACAGCAGTGGGTGTTAAGATGCTGAGGTTGGTTTTGTGCACTCAGGGGTACCAACAAGTTGGGCCCCCTTGGCCCGCTAGTAAAGTCTCAAACAAAACAGTTTTGTTTCTGAACGATTAAAACTTAACAAGTTTGTTTTTATAATGTATATTTATATATTTACCCAATGAACGGATAGGATGGAAGTCCATTTACGTCCTTGGTAATCGGTCTGAGCCAGCGGGGCACCATTTCTCTTCCTGCTCGTTACTCAGCTGAGGTTGCTTGAAGGTTCGAACTGCGAAGCCCGGCTCTTCCTGCTCCACAGCCGTGTCATTGTACCACGGTGCTAACTCCTAACCGTGTCGTGCTGCACACACCGTTACCCCACACAGTTTAGGGGCAACTGTGGCTGAGTGGTTAGAGCAGTTGTTCTCCAATGGGAGTGTTGGGGGTTCGATCCCACCAGCAGTCACATGTTGAAGTGTCCCCCGGCAAGACACTGAATCCCTCATTGCTTCTAATGTGTGTCCCATCGGTGTATAAATGTGATTTAAAGCTCTGATTATAGATTCTGATTAACTCTGTAGAGACCTAGTAGAGTGTGGTATGACTGAATAAATGAGGGCACAGATTATAGTGTAAAGCACTTTGAGTGTCTTGATAAGATATAAAGTAGTACAGTCCATTTACTCCTCTAAGAGCAGAGCTGGAAGATCACTGTGGAGAAGTCGGTGTGTTTGAGAAAGGTGGTACTTAGTAGGAAATCTAAACATTGACCCGTTGCAAGTGTGGATAGGGAACTAGACTGGATGAAGGACGGTGGACAGCAGGACATCCAGGCAAGACAGACACTTGTGTAAGCTGTAAAAGGACGACAATAAAAACTTGTTTTGGGCTGTAAAACGTGTCATTTAAATTTACAATGTTATTTACAACATATCAATCTGAAGGGAACGCGAATGAGTGTAAATGCAAACATAAAATGTATAGAAATGTAAAAATAGTACAATATGATGACTCATATGAAGCCATACGTGTGTGAGGGGATGGGAGGAATATGAGGATAGAGTTCAGGGAGTTGGCAGAGATTAATGACGCGAGTAGGTCAGTATGGATAACAGCACTTACCATTCTTCTGTGATGTGTGGACGGAGAATGAATCTGGAAAAAAAAAACACATGAATTGGTTAAAATTGAAGGAGATGAACTCAGCTCTCTGCTCCACAAAAACAATCAACAAATCTTCATGCAAAGTAGATGTGGTGACCCCTGAGGAAGGGAGCAGCCGACACAAGAGAAATAATAAATAAATCTTTCTCTGTAGAATGATGTTCCCTAAACAGTCTGGAAATGACGGACGGCCCGTCCCAGATCGATCGACGGGCTCAGGTTCCCTCAGCAGGTCCTGACCCTCTGAGATCCTGAAGCAGGACAGTTTCTCACCCGCAGCGTCTGTTTTTTCCTTTAGTTTTGTTAAACAAATATCGTTTCTCGTCTTGTTTACTAGATTTAGTCAGAGTGGAAGGCGTCTTTGAGAGGCACCATCCCTGTAGGTGTTGTTCTGCTGCACCTTCAGTAAAAATCACCACTTTCAGCTGATTTTCTGCCTCTCTCCTCCTGGTTTGTTACATAAAGCTGAATTTGATGTGTGAGCACCTCCGTGGATCAGCTCTCACCTCTTTGTGTGCCGTCCAGCTGAGGCTCTTAGTCACACAAGCAGTGCACCCATTTAGCTTCATTTTCTGAGCACAACACACACATTTACTCTATAGCTGGCACTGAAACGCTCGCATACACTCAGCCTGCCAGGCTCGAGAGCATCAAGGCCCAATCTAGGTCATAGCATCAGCCCAGAGGTATCCTGATCTCCACACAGACGTACGCATGCACGGATTCTTAATTTCCAAGTCAAGTCACGTGTTTAGCGTGGAAAATTACATTCATTTTACCCGATTTTGTCCCAACGAGCAGAAAAAAACATGTCAAATATTACAACAAATAGAAAATAGTTTTAATTATCCCCCTTTATACGCTGCTCTCGTGGCTGATGGGTTTTATGAGTCAGCCTGACTGTCACAAACACATCGTTCCAGTGATTAAGTTCGCCTCCCCCTGCAGATTATTAAATCTGCAGCTATTTAAGCCCAAAATAACTCCTTCTTTTTTATTTTTGGGCTATAAATACATCTTTAAGGTTTCTGCTGCAGATATTCGTGCTGCTGCAGAGACGGAGATGTAACAGCAGCTTTCTTCTTTCAGCTTTCTATAAATATTCCAAAGCTCGCTTTCTTTTGCTGCCTCCTCCCCTCCCCCCTTTCTTTGCTGTTTGTCTTCTTCTCCCCTACAAATACTCCCACGTCTTCCCTTTTTCCTCTTCTTTTCTCCCGTCGTACCAGCAGAGACGGGCATCTCGTCTCTCTGTGGTGGAGCGGAGAACAAAAACAGTCCTGTGTTGTGTTTCTGTTATTCCTGCTTTAAGAGGATATATATATATATATTTTTAAAATAATATAACATTTAGAAATCCTCCTTCCTTCATTCCGCCCTGGTTCTCAGTGAAACGCAGCGATTGCTCACAGTGAAACGTTTGCTCGTGTTTTCATTCAAGGGGTTTTTGGAGATATTTATCAGTAAATAAACAGAGCTAAGCTGAGCCCAACATGCCCGGCGCCGTCCTCCCTGACCTATCAGCGTGAGGAGTAAGCGTGCCACCTATGAAGTCAGCAGCCCCCAACCCCCACCCTGAACACATGTTCAGCATCCTCTGGGCGAGAGCCGAGCGAGACGCAGCTGAGGAGCGGTGAAGTGGAAGTGCGGCTCAGCGTCACAAAAAGACAGAAATAGAGCGATGAGGCAGTGAATCGGGTGGAGGGGGGAGGAGAGACGGAGGTAGGGGTTCGTTTTCCTACGGGGGGTTAGGATCCGGTCGGGTCTGGATGCCAGAACCTTGTGGATCGGAGCGCATCACATCTGGAACAGCTGCAGACAGAGGACACAGTCGAGGTTGGATGTTAGGATCTGCACAGGCCCGTGGTGGTTCTGGGATGCTCCCAGCTGCTCTGACCCACATCTTCGGTTCTTTTGGCGGAACGATGCAGACCGGGATCTGCGGAGCGCACTCAGCCCCCTGACTCTGCTGGCATCCATCTGCGTGGAGATCGTCAGGGTAAGGATGCTCGGTCCTCTCCCCGAGGGGGGTTCTGGTTCTGCGTTTCACATTTCTGAAACGTTTGGAGGTTCTAAACAGACCCGCGCTGCAGAGATGGGGCGACGGAACCGGATGCCATGTTGCGCTGGAGCCTCATGCAGCATTTCCACATGTATAATTCATGACTGTGGAGATTCAGCAACAAGTAACCCGCTTCAGCCGAAGTGCTCGTACAGCAGCTTCAGACGGTTCTGAAAGAGGAAACTCGGACAAACGTTTGAGGTTCTGTTGGTTTCTGAAAAGCTCAGGCTGCTGTCGCTTTAAAAAGAACGGTGCCAAATTGTCTGATCTGGGTTTCCCCCCAAGAAAATGAAATAAAAAGATAATTTCTCTGATTCGATCAGTCGGGTCAGATCGGGTCACACCGGGTCAGAACGGGTCAACGGGATGATCTCATTTC